AGGATGGCCACTGCTTTGCGATCCTTCACCCCAAGGTTGGAGTAGTCCAGAGAGTTCGCCTCCTGGTTGGCATCCTAGAAGACAGAAAGGTACAACCATGGTAGCCCTCCTCCTGGTTTTCTCTTTGGCATTCACTGGATCTGGGATGCTCCTTCATGCCCTGCATTTGGTGCTAATAGTGGGCAGGTGACAGGAAGAGCCCCCGGACAGTTAGGTTTCTTTTGTTACTGTGGTTCTGATTCCTAAGTTCAGACTCAGGTGTAGTCCTGGAAAACCCATTATCCGAAGTGGCCTCCCTCCACTGCTACTCTATGTGCCCCCTGTCTAAAAAGGGCACCCCTTTGTCCCTCTTCTCAGTCTCACTATAATCTCTTTGCCACAGTGGTCTTGTTCCAATTCTGTTTTTTGCTCCCTTCCTGCTGTCTGTCTTTCAATACCCCTAGTGAGTTCAGTTCAACAGCTTTTAGACAAAAGCTATTCTCATTTTTCCCAGTCAAAGCCCTGCTGTATCGTCTCTGGTCAAGCACACTGGCTACATGCCACACCTAGGAAGGTCTGGTGCATGGCCATCTCCTCTAAAGTCCATCTTTCCATGCCGTAGAATCTCCATCTGTAAAGTGGCAAAACTCACCTCCTTCACAGAGGTGCTACCACCCTTGACATCAAGTGCAGGCCTCGACATAGTTGGCATTTCAGAGTCTGGGCAGAAGTCAGATAAATTGGTGCGAGTTGATGCCTCCAGCTGGAGCTGTTGGTCTGTAAATAAAAGAGAAGAAACGATAAAGGTGAAAGGCTTTCTTGACAAAGGAGTCACTAGAAAATTCCAAGTCCGGTCGAATCCCTTCAGCTACACAAGGATATGCTGGTTGGGTCAAACTCAAAACAGAGAGCACCTGGGCAGGGAGCAAAGCCAGAGCTGGAACTCTGACCTGAGGCCAGAAGTATGCTCTATTCAGCCAGGGGCTGACAACGACTCTCAGTGCTAAGGGAGAACACATGAACATTTACTCAAACAGGTTATTTCAGAGTCCAGAGGCTGGGGTGGCACTGTTCTTGATTCCCAGAGCAGACAAATCCCTGAGAAAGCAGCACACCATGTCAAGGGACCACTAGCACCCAAGTCTCCAATGGGACTGGGGGAAAGTGAGAATTCAGGAGAAGGATGACCTAGGGTCTCTAGAGCCCTGTCTTGGGGGCATGCCTAGAAGAAGACAGCAGACCAGGGTGTTCTGGAGACTCTGAGGCAGCAGGAGCCACAGACCAGCTGGAAATAGCTCAGTTCCTCCATGTCTCAAGCCCCTACAAGACAGTCCCTAGATTGGGTTTTCCCAGGACAACTGGCCCAGAGCCCAGAGCCAGGCCACACCCATGTGTGGATGATAGAAAGGATTCTTCCTGGAGGGAAATCTGATGGTTTTCACCCTGGAAGCAGCAGCAGCAGTTTGAAGAGCAGCATCTAGCAGTCCTTTGCCACATATCTGTCCTGTCCATAGGCCAAGTCCTCAGACCCGAAATTACTCAGATGGCTTCAAAAGAAATGATTCTCTTGCCCAAGTGCCAAAGAGATAAGAGAATGAGGGAATAAACAAAAACTAACAAACGACCACCTCCTACTCAGAACATTAAAAATTCTTATTTTCCTGGAAAAGTATTTTTAAAACCTCATATATTCTAGCATTATCACTTTAAGGAACCCAAGAGTCCTTTTCCCGAAGAGGTTAGAATTTGCTGGAACTCTACTCTCCTTGTTACCCCCAGTGGTTGTTAAGAATGTGCTGGCTTCTAAAGGGAACACTATCTTTAA